ATCAGCTGCTTAGAGTGAAAATCAGTGAAGAAATCGGAACCAAGAGGGCTCCAGTTACAGTTCTTAATCTAGCTTTCCCTGGCTAGATACTCCTGTAAGCACCAGGGATCAAGAAATAAAGCTAACAACAACAACAAAAATGAACTCCGAGATTACGATTATAGATGTAGAACGGGTACAAAAAGCCAGAGTACCTCACCAATGCGTGTGATGCAAGACTACATTCCCAAAATCATAGTGCTTGTTTTATTTAAAGCAACCTATTAAACACCGACCTATGAGTAGACAGCTCCCGCAAAACTACAAGGCACAGCTTCTAAGAAATGCTTTCCTTTGCTCAGCTCACTCAGAGCCTGACTGAACAGGACAGGCCACACAGGCCCCAGGGCCAGAGGGTGCCGATGGCTGGACGGTGCTTGGGACCCCGTCAGAGGTGGCAGGAGAAGCTGGGCCTCAGCGTGGTGTGAATTGTAGGGATCTGTGTGTCCATTCTGTGAAGGAGAATGGACCACTGTCCTCGTCTCTACACGTCTCAAGCATGTCTGCCTGAAGGGACTTTCTCCACAGCATTTTTTAAAAGTATTTAAAAGGAAATTGGTGTGTTTAAGTCCTGTATTTCCCCCACAGGATTGTGTTGTCAGTGTTTCTTATAGAACCCTTTCTGCTTCACGACGTTTCTCTTTTTATGCTAACCATATTTTTAGAGTACATGTAGAAAAGATGCATCTATACATGTCGGCTGCACTATAAATGCCATCAATTGGGTTCTCCCTTAATAAAGTGAATACTTTCTTTACTGACATACAAGAGGACGCCTAAGGAAGACAGTATCCTCATTCACTTGCCATGCTAGGTAGGCTTTTTCAGTAGTGTCTGGGGCATACACGTGGACAGATGTATTTCTTTCCCTTTGTTTGGTAGCTCCTAATAGCTCCTGATTCCGAATGCCAAATGCTATCGATTGAAAATAAGGGGCCCCCAACCCAGAAAAATGGGATCAGTGAGGGGTCACAGGATCCTAGAGACGCCCTCAGGCCCCATCCAGGAGGTCGCTCTAGCACATCCTGAGCCATAACTAACAGGCAGGGCTCACATGCCAGGCCACCAGTGGAGGTGACAGCGGTGATGATGTGAGGGCTTCCAGTCCAGGGTACGTACGTGTCGCCCTGTGCCAAGTGCCTCCCAGCAGCCTCCGCCCGGGGAACTGAGGACAGGGACACAATGCAGGGCCTGCTCACACTGTTTTGCTCCCTTTGCCACTTTATCTCCACTGTCAGGACGCTTGTCGGAGCCGGTGCTGACTGACTCAATTTCCCCGAGGTTGAGCCCGAGCATTGTTTGGGGTCTGACGGCATTCTGTCAGCCCCTGCTGATGGACAGTCCCACTGAGTCCAGCTTCCTGCGCAGACGAGACAGCCTGCTGTTTTCTTCTTGTCTCTTATCACCCCTGTCATTAAAGGAGAGGCCTGGCTTCAACTTCAATTTGTGCTGATACACAGCAGTAAAAGGGAAGAGAGGGGGAAATGCTCATTGCCTTTCTTACTGCCCTGAGATTCACTCCCTGTCTGGGAAGGTTTCAACCAAATGATGTATTTGTGAGCACGTAAGAGTTTAAACTGCCCGGGAGAGACATCCTCTATTGCAAACTTTCTGGGGGAACTCTTCGGTTTCTGTTTTTTCCCATTCTTACCGACTCCCAGCTGCTCATCTTGAGTCTTGACTGGGATATTCTGTGCAACTTTAAAGCTTTTCCATTTTACTGAAGTTTGGTTTGTTTTGGTTTGGTTTTTTGTTTTGTTTTGTTTTTAGCATTTCTTTCTCTCTAAAAAGAAGCCTTTCCCCAAGAGTAAAGTTTTCCTGCTCACTCCACATTAGCATAAAGTTAGATCAAGAACCAAATTTGTTTCATTCTTTTATTCCCTTGGAACCTGAGCTATTCCTCAATTTTGCTTTTTTTTTTTTTTTTTGAAAAGTAGAAGGAAAGAAATGAATACCCAGTGTTACTCACAGTTCCATATTTTAAATTCTTGAAGATGTTTAACCAGGGCTTTCACCCATCTTAGTTTTCCTTATTAACATCCTCTGTCCATACATCTTCTCCTTATTTATAGCACTCAAGAATCAGTTTATTTCAATATGCACATTAGAAATTTAACATCCTGCCAAAAGAGCTCACACTTTCAAAATGTTTCTCCACCTAAACAGATGTTCTTTGCAAACGTCAAAACTGACCTGTTGGGAAACACGGTATCCAACACATAATTTGAAATAAATATTAAAATTTTCCCAACACAACCACAATGAAAAAGGGGAGAGAAAGAACATGATTCTATGACCTTTGAAAAGTTATCCTATGTGATCAATATATTTAATAGCATTCCCCATGGTGATTTTAGGGAAGGTGGGTGGGTGTTAAAGGCATTTAATGTGTTAAATAATGACCAAAATTAAAAAAAGATTGGGGTGCGGGGAGGGGAGGGGAGGAAAGGAGACTAAGCGGTATAATTTAAAGATGTGTTGTTATCTTGATCGAGATAAAAAAAAGGGGGGGGCACCCAGGAGATTTGAGGAAAGGGAACTATAGTTAGAGTAACAGATAATGGCACAGCATGGTCTCTACTTTTCTGGATTTTATGTTAACTACTGTGGGCTCAGGAACTGGCTTAATGACTTTTCCAGGATTTGGTCTGGCCCTTTATCAGTTCACTATAACAAGAACATAAGCCAGGAAAGCCTGAAAAATTGCTGCAGCGAAACATGCCCTCCTACCCTGCTGCTGTTTGCAACCCTGGCCATTGGCACTGGGCCTGTAGGGTTTATGCCCGGACAGAGCTGCCGTCGGAGGACAGCTCTGAAAGGTCCGACCAGTCAACGGTAGTCACGGAGTCCGAGAAAAACTAAGGGGGCTCTAGGCATCCGGACATGCACGTTTTCTCTTTGCTCCTGCTGTTTTGCTGCTGTAAAATGCTCAGCTAAACCTAATTGAATTTGACAATAATAAATCACATGTCGAAACTGTATAGCTCACCTAAGGAATAGCAATGGAAACAGTGAAGACACCAGAAGCCAGAGTTCAGGAAATGTCATATTCACATAGAAATGCTTTAAATTTTTCCCAGAGCTTTATTGTCTCTTTTTTTAAAGGAAAGCTCCAGACCACCCAGTGCACAAAGTCCATTTTGGAAACTGTACATAAAATCTTCTCTTTAATCAGTTCTTGCCCCTGTTGTCATACTATGACTTTAAGCCTATAAATAAAGAAGGAACTGAACTGTCAAAAAGGAAGAAAAGAACAAAATAGATGAATCATTCTTCTCTCTCGTCCTTAGGAGCTGATCACGCCCTAGTGGAGAGGATTTGTGAAATGTAAAAGGAAACTATAATGTGACCTTATCTGCCCCTTTCCATTGCTCCACACGGTCCTGTGAGCAGAGCACTTAATTCCTGATGTCCTTGTAAGAATCCAGCTTCCACAGTCCCATTTCTCTTCATGCTGGTGGAAGCTTTATTTAAAGAAGGGTTCCCACGTCCTTGCTGTCATTCCAGAGTCCTGTGTCGTCCCGTGCCACACTTTCCCCACACCACCCTCGAGGTCTGTCCGCCCTGTGCCCCCCAAACCCTGCAGCCTAAACCATTTACTGTCTCTTTCCTCGAAAGGACACAACAGAAAGAAGTAAGACAGTCCTTCAGGAGAAGTGAAGTGTAAACCAAGCTGGGATGTCCCTAATCTTTCCCTCAGAGTTGCTTGGGGAATAGGCACACTGACTAGTCTAGAGGTTAGCTCACCAGCAGCTGACGTAGAGAGCAGCTGCTTTGTTTTGATGGAACCTCATCCTTTTCCTTCACAAGGTCTCTTGGTCTAATTAAATTTCAGGGAGACAGAGCCTTGGCAGAAGGTTAAAGTAAGCTGCTAGACTGGAATGTAGGAGTTGGGCTCAAAACTAAATTGGGAAGTTTAACTGGGTGCGTCTCTGGTTTCAATGAAATACTTTTACAGTGTATGGTAGCAATGTCTGTTTCTAAGCTTTTGAAAACCATTTTTCTTTTTCCTTAATTGTAGTTCCCTAGTTGTTTTTATATTATGAGCTACTTGTAGAAAAATACAGGAAACATAATTACAATACAAAGCTCCCTTTCCCAAGCCTACTGAGATCACTTGAAGCCAAACTGGGTTTTAGGGTTTTGCTAACTATAAGTTCAGAGCCATGAATTGCATCCTATGCAATGCTGGTTGATTTACAGCAAGTGTTGTGTGATTAAACAATAACCACGTTTCTTCGAGCTATGCAACTGCTATAGAATTGAGGGAGGGCTGTGTTGCTTCATGACGCCACATTTCACAGCTCTTTGGGGAAAAAGAATGAATATCTTTGTGTGACTCTTACAGTAAAATAGAGAAGTATTGTGGAAGTATATACAAGTTTATTTAGGGAAAGGAAAGAAGTAAATTAATTTGTTTTTCCACTTCTATTTCCAGCTCCGTGCAATGTTGAATTGCTAGTTATTAATTTTTGTATCCTACTTTTCCTGAAGAATCTGTATATGGACTGTTCGGACCAGCAGAAATAACTTGTTTTACTATTATTAACACCCTGGAGAGGAAATCAGTACTTCGGTGTATTGTGAAATGCAAAGCCTTTGGGAGTTTGATTTAGTCAAGCCTAAAATGTAATGATGGATGATGTAGAATGAGGGCCGTTGAATGTACCCTGTTAGAGAATGACTCCAAGCATACAGTACAGGAGCCCCCCTCAATTCGAGGCGGGTCCATTCCAAGCCCCACCTCCAGTGAATGCCTGAAACTACCATAGCACCCAACCCTATATATACTATGTTTCTTCCTATATGTACATACCTGTGATAAAGTTTGATTTTATAAATTGGGCACATAAGAGATTAACAACAATAACTAGTAATAAAATAGAACAATTATAACAACATACCATAATAAAAGTTATGTGGCGTCGCTTTCTCAAAATATCTTACTGTACTGTACTCACCCTTTTCCTTGTGAGGATGTGAGATGATAAAATGCCTAGTGACGAGAGGAAGTGAGGGGCGAGAGGTAGGCCTAGGGTTAGGCTACTGCTGACCTTCTGACCGGTTGCCTGCTCTGGACTCAGCGGAACACCCGTCACTGAAACCTCGGGAAGTGACACTGAGGATAAGGCAGGACTACTGGACGTTCATTCAGAAGTAGCACCCAGACACCCTTTGATATAGAAGTGACGGGGAGCACCCGGTCCTGTCCAGCCCCTGATGGCCTTTCCCAGCATGAATCCCCTACGCCTGCCACCTTTCAGGGAATCTGAAGAAAATCACTGGGGCAGGCTTTCAGCTGTAGCTTCATTATCTGTTCCTTTCACTTGATGTAACTGGTTTTAGGTTGTTCTTTAATATTGCGTGTAATGCGAATAGCTTCTCAATGGGGTATTTATCGTGTTTAAAGTTCAGCTGTCTGTCACACTGCCTTCACATTCTTCCGTTTTAAGGACTCATCTTATGCACTATTTGATGAATACATTTGTACAGGGAAAAGCTAAATGTTTATCTCACCCCCCCAAATGGTCTGTTTCAAAGTATGTGTCTTTCCTTTTTCTTCCTTCCTTTCTTCTTTCTTTTCTTCCTCCCTCTCTCCCTCCTTTCCTTCCTCCCTTTCTTTCTTCAAATCATCTTGAAATTCTCATCTCAATTCTAAATCAGTCTTCAGAGATCTGTTATAAGAAATGGGTGAGTGAGGGTTGAGGTGCAGGGTTAATATTCTCCTGTAGTTTTTCTTTTAGACAGTTTCCTTCTTAAGGAAGTCTCTTAAAATGGATGGAAACTCTCCTGAAGCAGTTCCATGCCTGTACTGGTGAAACTGAGCAGAGCAGACTCTCCCTGAATCATTGACGTCTTTTATATATATATAATATATATATGTATATAAAAGATTATATATATAATGTGTATATATATATATATTTTATTTATATTTATTTTTGACAAAGGCCCTGTCAAATGGGATATATATATTTATATTTTGACAAAGGCCCTGTCAGATGGGATGAGAAACTCAAGGATCAAGCAAATGACAGCTTGAGCTTCCTGTACAGGAGCTGGAGGTTCGTTTAAAAATTAACTTGATCTTCCACCAGAGCGGTTAGGGAACACTGGGCAGACGAGGAGTGCTACCGAGCTGAAGAAGCTGCAGGGTGCTTGCTCTTTGGAGCTGTATTTTCAAACTGCTGGTTGCAACGGATTAGTGGATCGTGAGGTGGAGTAAGTGGGTCGAGATCATGATTTTCTAAGGAATGGGATAGAACAGAACAGAATAGAAAATACGGTATGTCGTGGCCCTGGACAGTAAGGGGGAGGATCGCTTCGTGAAAGTTCAGTTTCGTTTTACGCGCCTGTGGGTGTGCGGGATGGCGGGGTGAGCCGCCCGTCTTTACCGCGGCTCAGGAAAGCTCGAGGCCACCGCCCGGAAAGAACTGGTCTGCGGGCCCCGAGTTAGCCAGGGCCCCGTTAGGGGGCACCCAGCTCCCCGCCGCGGAGGACCGGGTCCGCCCAGCCCCGCGCGCCTGCACGCTGAGGGCCGGGCACCCCCGCGTCGCGGAGCCTCCGGGGAGAGTCGGAGCGCGCCAGCGTCGGGCACCGGGCCGTCCGCCCCGCGGCGGGAGAGCGACGCGGCGGCGGCGCGGAGCGCGGGGCTGCCAGGGCGCGTCTGCTCATTTACTCCTCTCCTTGCCCGAGAAGTGCAGTAACTCGAAACAGTTCTCACAGTAGCGTCCCTGACAACTTAATGTTTAAAAAAAAAAAAAGTCATTAAGTGTCAATGGGACGCGGTGGAGGGGAGGGGTGGACAGGAGGAGGTGGCTGGGTGAGCAGGAGACGGCACCGCTGTCACCGTCCTCACTGGTCTGTGCAGCGCATTCTTAAACGCGACCTTCGCAAGATTTACTGCTCGGGGAGCCGCGACTGAGCGTGCCTGGCGGGTTCCAAAAGGAGGGAAACGGGAGCCTTGTGCCTCGAGAGTTCGCCCGCCGACAGCAGCGGTGCGGGGGGGGGGGGGTCCCTGCGACTCGGGCCCCCGCCGCCCCCGACCCACGTCTCTTTTATCTTTCCCTCCCCCCGCCCCCTACCCCCCCCCCCCCCCGGCAGGACTTTCTGCAAGGAGATTGCACCAAAGCGAAACAGAAGCTGAGCTGGAAACCCCGGGTCGCTTTTGATGTAAGTGCCTTTCTCTACGGGTGGAATCCGCTGGCCCGCTCGCTGCGGGAGGGGTGGCCGGCCCGACGAGGCAGCGAGCCGCCCGGAGCGGCAGCGCTCGGGCCGGCTTGGCGCCCGAGGTGCCCCAGGCCTGGAGGGCAAGGAGGGCGCGGGTGGGGGCGGGTGGGGTGGAGGGAGGGTGGCGGAGGCCTCTCCGGGCGCGCCACAGGGGGTGGGGGTGTCACCCGGAGAGAGTGGCAGAGACTCCTCCCTCACCGCCCACCCCCTGTGTCTCGGGTCCCAGGAGCTGGTGAGGGAGATGGTGGACGCCGACGTGGAGCTCATGAGAAACAACCCCAACGCGTGAGAGCGGCCGCGGAGGCCCGCGCCGCCCCTGCCGGCCTGTGGTCCCCGCTTGGAATCAGCTGGTGCGGGGTCGCAGGTGTGATCCCGGGAGGGGCGCGAGAATCCGGCGGGTTCCCTGCGGACCCTCGCTGCCTCTGCGCTTTGTCCCCGCCGTTAGGATCTGGGGCCGCTGAGGTTTGTAGCAGCCGGGACGTGGCACTCCGGGGTTCGGCCCAATTTCCTTTTGTCGAGGCCTCTTCTGAACGGTTTTGTGAAATCAACAAGATGTTTTAATCACATGTTCACTGTACTTGAAATTATGTCATTAGACAACTGAAATTGTGGGGCTTTCAAAATGTTTTCCTCTTTTCTTATTAAAAATGGCCTTTCTATGAACTAGCATTAACAGAGTCGATGTCGGTGTTTTTCCTGAGGTATAAAAGCAGCTATAAGGGCCCCCAAACAAAAACACCCAAATTCTTGCCTTGGAGTGAAATAGCTTCCCTTAGGCCTTCCTCCCTTTTGAGAGAGCCCCTGCAGGTAGACCCCTGCTGGGCCGGAGCCTGGCTTTTGCCGAGCCTTCTCCTAAGTCTCTGCCTGGGACATTTCTTTCCCCCTTCCGGTGACAATAAGCCACTCTATCCAGCAGATCTGGAAACCCAGTTCCTGAAGAAAGGAGGCATTCACACCCCCTCCGGTCTCTGCTGACTATAATTAGAACCCACGGAGCTCCCACCATCTCAAAAGAAGTCTTGAGAAATAGAGGGGGGCCAGAAGAAGAAACCTGAAGGTAAGTAAATATTGTTGGAACATTCCATGCCAAAGCCCCTGAGGTACCCAGAGGTCTCTGAGCCCATGCCTTTCCTTGTGGTCTAGAATCTTTCACACAATACTTATTTCCAACCACTTCTCGGTACTAGATCACTTTTTTAAATCTAATTTTGATTTAATCATTCAACCAATTTATATGAAGTGCTTAATATATGTCAGACATTGTACACTTGCACTTACATCAGTGTTAATTAAAAATTATAATAAAGAGGTTTAACCTGGGCCTCAGATCACTGGATCCATTTTCACTGAGTGCATCATTTAGGTGGCCTGGCTTTCACTGCAGGTATGTGCTCCTGAGCCGTGGACTCATGGCTGTACTAAGTGTATTAAGGCAGGTGGACACACAAATGTATGGAACCCACAAGCAGCAAGCAAAGATTTGGGTACAGGTGTATACTTCTGCATGAAATACACTATTTTGCTCTAGAATAAATTAGGTCAGGACTCTTCTTTTCCCCCCTCACTCCCCCTCCAAGGAAAATAAAATAAAACTTTATAGCGAATGGAATTCCAGCCTTTACACATGCTCACGTGAATGCGGGTGAACTATTTCTGAATGTCTTCACCGGCAGGTTTATGATCTGGGGGAGGACCCAGGCTCCAATGGCTGGCGGCAGGAGAGAGGGCTCTTTGTGTGGCTGCCTGAGTTGCTACAAGAGTATGCTGGCCAGGGGCAGCCTCGGCTTCGATGGAGCAGAACTGGGGCGGCTTGAGCTGGCCCACCCGGTTCTCAGAAGCTGCCCCAGGACAGGCCTTCTCCCAATCGGGATGCTGCTAATTGGAAACAGATGGCTCTGGAAGGCTGGGCTCCAGGACTGAGATGGCTGGTGGGCACAGAGGCACTCACAAGTACACAATCACACATGTTGCCACACATCCAAACCCACACATGCACACAAATACAGATACACACCTACAACAGTCCCACAAACACGCATTCACTCACAAACACTTGAAAACACAACACAAACCTGCTATCACCAACACATGGCCACACACATACTCTCACAAATCTCACAAATAAACACATTAGCACACATTCCCCTTAGCCTTGACCCTGATGGACAGGCACCCCCCTCTTCTCCTCCTCTGACCCCCTGAACCTTCACCTCCTCCCACACCCAGGCATAGAGGCCATTCCTTCCGGCTTGCAGTGGCCCTATATAATTCAGTATTTTGAGGCTTGTTAGCCCAAAACCATAATAAACTCCTTAATAAAGGATCACGAGAGATTCTAGGCAGGGGCTTAATGGGACTGCGGTAGAGTTATAATGTTAAATTATTCTTCTCAAAATGGCCTGGAGCATCAGTTTTTGAAGAACACAAGAGTATTTTTGGTCGCAATCTTCTCTCTATTCCTGAATCCTCAGTTGGGCGGACGGAATTTGCTCATTTGGCTTCCTGGTCTCCTGCTGTTTAAAAGGTGCACGAGAGAACAGATTTGCTTGAGTATCTCTGTTCTTTCTGTGCTCTGAATTTCACCTGGACATCCTTCAAGACAATCATTAAAAAGGGTCTTCCATCTTAAATCTCAACTCAATTTCACTGAATTTATTTTCCTCCCCTTTTTCCTGCTCTGCCAGCTTTGGCTTTTCAGTTTAAGTGTGATAAAATATCTTCCACCTTGATTTTTTTTTCTTTTAGTAAAAACTAAGAAAGTCAAACTTTCAGTACATTCAAACATAATACGAACGCAAACACCACATTTGTGCCCCAGATGAACAGCAAGGTGCATGGATACCTGGGCCAGCCAGGACCTCCCTTTCCATCGGACCAGCCTGCCAGGCTCTCCCGGGGGCTGTGTCGGCTGCCCTTGGTCTTTAAGGAATTAGGAGGCAGCCGGGTCCCCGTATATTAACCTGACACACCCCTCCAGCTGTTTAGGGGTGAAGGCCTGCAGTGCCGGCTGTGGGACCTCTAAGGGAAGTGCTGAAACGCTTGGGAAGATAAAGTTCCCCGCAAGATGGCTCCTCAGGAAGCTCGATTTCAGGTCTACCATTGTGCGCCAGTAAACCAGCGCAAAAATGCACCAGGCTCCTCTTGGTCTTTAATCGCCTTACCAACACCAACCACCAAGATTCCATAGAACGCCTGCTCGCCGGTTGGTCGACTGCTGGCAAATGAAACTTTCCTTGGCGTTCTTAAAGCTCCCAGCTGGAAGCAACACTTTAAATTTTCATTTCAAATTAACCTTAAACGCACGGTTTACAAATAACTTTCTAAAACCCAAGAAAGCGTCTTGTTTGTATTTGGGAATTCCAACCGGGTACTCTCAGTTTTAACATGGATCCCCATAAATCCAAGCTCACCGTCATCTATTTTTCACAACCTGTGCTGCAGCCTTGCGCGATCGATCTGTGTATGGTATGCGGGAAAGGGGTGTGGACAACTTCCACCCGGCTTTTACAAAAAGATCGTATGTGCGCGCGCGCGCGCGCCTTACAAACAGATCAACAAGTCCCAACATGCCACCTACACCTCTCCAAAAATCGTGGGCTTTAATAACTGGTGGTGCCGCGAAGCTTCACAAACAGGAGGGACAACTGGGACACAAAGCTGCTCTGGGTGCTGGCCCACCCTCCGCAGTCGGGGGTTTCCCACCATCCACTGCGTCCCTTTGGAGCTCACGGGGTCGGGGCCTGATTTCTTCGGGGAGACACAGGGGGCGCTGCTGCCCTGCCCCAAGCAGGCCCCAGGCCAGGGCTCCCGGCGACCTCCCAGCCTCGCTCTCTGCCCCGCGAACACCCCGGGAGCGTCGAGCACATTTTCAGGGGCTGTGCCGTCAGTGTTATTACTCGTCACTGGGTCTCTAGTCACGTCGCTTTCCCCGGCCTGTGAGGCTGCCACTGCCTCCCCCAGGCCCGACCTACGGTGCTTCCCGCCGGCCGCCTGGGGCTCACCCTCGCCCCCGCCTGGCCCGCCCGGAGTGCGCTCTGTCCCCAGAGACCTTTCCGAGGCCTCCGTTACGAATACGACGGCACGGCCCCACCCCACCCTCACCCGTTTCCTCGGCTAGAGTGTCTCTCTCTGCTGGGAGGCCGACGACCGCAGCCTGACCCCGGCCCCGCCGCCTACTCCCCAGCTCCCGCCCTTCCTCCAGGGTCAGGGATCACACACAGCGGACGCCCCGTCTCAGCTGCCCCCTTTGATCTCTGAATTCGGGGCCGATGTGCCCGTCTGCGTGCGCACTCTGTATGCAAGGTACTGAAGGGCCCCGACGGCAGATGCTGAGGCCTAGGCTGGCCCGCGTACCCCGCTCACTAGCTCTGCAACCTCGGGAGACGCTCTAACTCCGGACCTCCAAGCTTCGGCCAGGACACAGCCGGGTGGGTTGCTGGGGTGGCGGACCTCGGGACCGAATGGCGCCGCGCGCGTGCGCATGCGCCGGCCGCCTCCCTCAGCCCAGGCCCCGGCGGGCTCGGCCCCGCGCACGTGTCCGGGGGCCCGCGGCCTCGCGCTCCCCAACGCGCGAGCACCGGTGGGAGGTGAGGAGGTGATGGAGAACTGTCCTTAGAAGAGAACCCTCCCCGCCGCAGCCCTGGCTTCGCTAATGCGCCAGTGTGCACGCGGAGACGGGCGCTCGGAAGCCTAAAACCCAAAGCGCGAGAGCACGCGGGTTGGTGAACTGCGGAAGGCAACTGAAATTGGGGCTCCACTGACCCCCGCCACTCTGAGGCGAGGAGCTGGGCGCGGGCCAGCCTGTGAGGAAGCCGCGCAGCCCGAGGCCTGGGCCGGAGTGGCGGGCCGAGGGCAAGGGAATGTATATTTGGAAGGGGTCAGGACCTCGGCTGGAGTCTGGCTTTTTATGGCGAGGAAGCCGCCTGGGAAGGGCCTTCTGGCGAGGCTTTCCTGTTGTGCCACTTTCCCCCCCCCCCACACACCACCCCCCGCATAGCCTGGGAGGGAGGGAGGGAGAAGGGAGGCCTAATCCCGGCGGCACCCCGGGGCCCCTGGCTCCACGGACCCTTTCCTGGGGACTGAGCCGGTGGGTAGGCCGGCTCCGGAGGCGGCCCGCAAATGCAGAGCAATGGCACATTGTTTCTCGGTCGGCAAATGCACTGTAAACAACTGCCCTGCACCTCCTGGATATTCCGTGGAATCAGAGTGGGGTGGGCACGCAGGAAACCCCCGTAAGGACGCGGGACAGGTGACCTAGGACATCAGCCCCTCGAGTTCTCTCAGGGAATTTCTAGCACCTAGGCAGCCCTTGTCTCTGGGAACAACCACGGGGCCTCCATCCCCTCCCAGCCCCCCTCCGGGCTCTCCCCGGGACACTTCCGGCAGAGGCTCGGGCGGCACCCTTCCACCCCGGGTTAGCCCACCACACTCCCCGAGCGGCCAGCTGCGAAGCCCATTGTCCACTGTCCGTGTGAGTGCTCCGTGGGTGACAGTAGACATCCTCTTTGGAACGGCAAGGAAGCCCCCCCTCTGTTGTTGGGGGTGCCCGTGCTGCAGAGAGGCCCCAGTGGCCGGCCCGACCGGATCGCGAACCCTGGCGCTGCAGAACCAGCCCGACTTGGGGGACAATGGCACCCCTCAACACAGTCCTGGCGCACCGGGCTCCAAAGACAGGGGCTGCCCTGAACACCTTCCAGGCTGCAGGGTTTGCGCAGTTCAGAGGACAGTTTTCGTTTTTCCTCCAATGGCAGGTTTTTAAGAATCCCATTGCCACCTAAACACTTGCTCCTCAACTCTGTCCTGTTTGCACATCTGTACCATTAACAAGACCCCGGTACACCTCAGGGACCAATGACCTGATTTTATACCCAAGGAAATGCGGGGTCCTTAAGAGTTAATGGCGCTAAATGTGTTGGTTTTCCTGCTCCTTCCCTAGGGTAGGTAATGGGGGAGGGAGGGTGCCTGTCTTCCCTTTCTTATTCTCACCCTCTCCCCTCTCCTTCCATCTGTCTATGTCTCTGTCTGTCTCTCATCTCTCAATCTAAATGAACCTCAAAGTTCTACCTCCGACCTCTTATTCCCCAACCTCGAGTTCTGAGACCCCTCCAAGCCCTGTCCCTAGGCCCTGCCTGGGGTCCCACCACCCAGGTCAATGGAGAGGCCCCACCACCTGGCCCTGGCTGCCAGCCCGCTGCTCACTCCATGGGCTCACAAATTGCACTTCCATGCCCACCCAAGTAGCACTGAGCTGTGTTGACTTAGGGGGTAAATGAGAAGCCCACCCAGTCTCCTTCTTGGGAACAGGGACAGCTAAGGGAAGAAGATGGGCAGTTTAGTACAAGTGACCAGCAGTGCTGACCAGTGGGCTTGGAGGAACCCAAGGGCAGACCAGTGAAAAGAGAAGATGCTCTTTGGGAGAATAGAAGCAGGTGCCATCTGGAAGAGCAAAGAGGCCTATGGAAGAGCCCCTCAGGTTTTCGGAGTCACCCTCCAGACTCCAGGTGGGTAGACTCTGAGCAGGAAGCAATGTCAGGCCCTCTCTGAGGACCACTCAGACCAGCCTCTCTTCTCAGGCTGCCTCCCTATGGGTGCTCCACCCCTCTCTCCTGTCTTGAAGACAGACTCAGGCCTATATGCAAGGAAATTCCAGATCCTACTGCATCTCCTATAATACGCTCAATATGCCACAAATTTAAAATCAGTGAGGGAAAAAATCAAGTAAACAATAAAAAAAAATAATATAAAACAGAGGGTTTCTTTGGAGCCATGGTAAGATGGGAAAGGAGCACAACAAAGGTCTTAAGTCAGGCCTTATGCTCTCTGTGCCGTATTTTGGTTTCCAATAAGGCGGACATGGTACATTTTGCTCAATTTTCCACTCCTAATCACGTTGAGAATGTCGTGGAGAAGGGGCTTTCATTCTTCTGAATGGATTTTGGAGCTGGAATTCATTTAATTAAGTATTGCTCCTTTTCCAACTGGACTCAGACCTGGAACCTGCCAGTCCTGCTCACGTGGCCCCAGCTCTGTCTGAGGCCTGAGTGTACCCTCCAGGTCAGGACCCCATGTGGCCCATCACCCAGAGGACTCAGAGCCTGAGCATACTTGCCACTGGGTAGGTAGCTTAAACTGGGAGACATCTGGGAGAAATTCTGGGGCCCCCAGGACTTTTAAAAGGGCCTGGGAGGAAGGGTGGCGGGGGGGGGGGGGGGGGGGAGAAAGTGACGAAGAGAGGGATAGAGGGATAGAGGTACAAAGACACATAGAACGTAATGACTACATTGGAATCACACTCAAAAAGGGAGAGACAGAGTAAAGGAGGTATCAGGTCACAAAAGTCCAGCTATGAATGTAGACCCCAAATAGTAAAGGAAGACTTTCTGTTTAAGTGAGAGTGAAAATGCCATTAATAAAAGCTCATTTCAAGGAACCTCTTAACCTCCTTATAAATTGAAATAGGAGCTTTCAGAAAAGTAGGTGTCTGAAGATGACATTTAGGGCCCCATAGCAAATCTCAGCAGTTTTTTCCCCCCCCCCATGCCGTTGTGACCACTGTCTGAATAAACTAGATCTTGCTTTTTGGGAGCTCTCCTGAGCTTAAGGCTTCTCCACTCTCTGCTCCCCCACACCCCAAAACTTGGTGGGGTGAGGACTATGACATAGTCTCTTGGTCCCTTTTCTCCCTGCCTCCCTCCAAAGCTCCCTGCTTAGCTAAAGAATGTCCGCACAGAATCTCACCTGCCTGGCCAGCTTTATTACATGGCCACTATCAATCTTGCCCTTAACGCGACATTTGTTTATGACCCGATGGGAAGGGCTAATGGCTTCATGAACCCACTCTGAAATGAGCTGAGAGGAGTCTAAAGAGAAGGCCCTGAGAGAGCAGGCAGGATCCAGTAGTGAGAACTGGGCTCAGAAGCAAACGGGGCCTCTCTCCAGGAGCTCTAAGATGTGGAGTGTGGGTAGAAAGAAAAGGTTGCCCCACCACTGTTGTTTCCAGTACCACGAACAGCTGGGGAGAACACGGATGTGGGTGTCCGGGACCTGGCTCCCCAGTGGATGCCTCCTCTCCCTCCAGGGCAGCCTGGCCAAGGAGCCTGGACTTGTGGAGGGTTCAGGGCCTCTCTGGAATTTTGGACCATGAAGAACAAAACTAACGGCCCTCCATCTTAAAACTGAGACCCCCTCCCTAGAGAACAGGGTGGGAGAGAAAAGGTCCACTATGTCTCTTCTTTACCTATCGAAGTTCAGGGGAGCCTGATAGGGGTATAAGGCACTCTTGTTTCCTGACCCTTATTTCTGACCCCCGCAGGAAATAGCCAAGAGCTTACAGACCACCAGCACAATTGAGCCTTATTCCTCTGCAAACATTGATTATTAATGACACAAGCTGTGTAGAATGATAAATTGTAAAATGCATGCTTGTTTGCATGCAGTCTGGTGAAAAAAGCTCTGCTAACTATATAGCCCTGGAAAACAGCACGCATTCCTACCACACGTGCAATATGCCAAAATGCAAGTTTTTATATGGCATGTAACATGCTGGCATTTACTTGCTCACTGTATAAATTGCTAAGCAAATAAATGCACCCACTGCTACATAAAGGACAAAATACTTACTATCCCAAAGTTTTCTACAGAAGCTCACTTCAAAATTAGCCAAGTCCCGACCACTAGATCCTGCCTTGTGTCCAAGGCTAATTTCAAAATGTACTGTCAGTTAAAATAGCAAGAAGTTTCTCTTAGAATATTTTACAGAAAAAATATTCTTATTGCTGAAAAAGTGCATATCAAACGTGCAAACTAAGGAATAAGTAGTTCTCCCAGATTCAGTAACGTCAGCAGTAGTTGTTTTTTTCTTAAATTGGATGAGAGTCCAAAAGCACATGTATTGAGAGTAGAAAACGTTACCTATATGGTTTAAAAAATCAGAATAATGAGCAGAACTTCTGACCTTCCACTCAAACATAGCTTCTGAACTATTACTTAGGCAACTCTTGTAGAAATCAGTATATATGAATAACACAAACACCTTCCAAGACTCATGTCTTCCATGCCTAAACTTTCAAACGTTGCAATAGAAGAGGGCAAGAATGATTGCTAAGAAGCTTGTCCCGGGCAAGTGTGTAAACACTCCCAGGAGTTTAGGAGAGGAGCTCTTCACTGGCGCGCAGGAGCCCAAGCACAGCACTCATGCAGGGTGCCTTCTCTAGCCTCAGGAACTCGGGCCCCAAGGAAGGAAGAGCGAGGGGTGCCCGCTGCCAAAGCCGCATTCTGGCGTGGGCGGGAAGGGTCCCCAGCCGGGAGCGAGCGGGTTCTTTCCCCCGCCGCGCTCACCCCCGCAAGGCCGCTCCAGCGCAGGCCGCGTGCGCTCCCTCGGGGCGCGAGGGCAGAGGCAGCCCCGCACCGCGCCTCCGGCCCACATCGCCTGCCTCACCCGTCCCGCAGCCCACCCCTCGGTGCGGCGCAGTCGAGCTCTCGAGAGCCAGGCTGGGGTAGGCCGGGGGCTGGCAGCGGCCGCGACGTGCTCCGGCTGCAAAGCCCAGGCCCAAGGAGAGGCAGAGGGGTACGAGCACGTGGACCCCCACCACGCCGAACCCCCTGCCCGCTTTGCATATCTCTCGCGTCCCTTAGGCCGAGCGACTCCCCGCGCCGGCCACCGCCAAGTGATTTGTGGCCTCTGGAAACCGACCCCACACGCCGCGCGAGGACGCAGCCCAGCCAAGGAGGCCGCCCGGGGCCCACGCGCTGGCCCTGGCAGGTCCGGCGCGACCAGGCCCCGGCGGGGCGGGCTGGGGGTTGTCCTGCAAATCGTGCAGCTGCCGAGGCTGCGGGCTGGCGCGGGTCGCGTTGTCACCCGAGAGCAATGGAGTGCCTGTGACCTTTCCACCCCGGCTGAGCACCTAAACACGCTTGTGTCTTCAAAACAAAGGCGGCCAGCGAGGAGTATAAAAAGGGAGTACCGTGGGCCAGGTGGCGCGAGGCGGAGGTGCGGGATAGGAGCCGGGCAAGCTACTTTTCCCGCGGCTCCCCCGGCCCAGGCGGCGAAGGCCCCAAAGCGCTCCTCCTGGCTCCGCGACCCTCGTCGCTCCACACACAGCCCTGCTCTTTGCCATTTTCTGCTCAGCCTGGTCTTCCCGGCACCCACGACCCAACCTGCGATTAATCCATCACACCTAACAAGAGGTCTCCTCGGACTCTTTTCTCCCCCAAACAACTGATTTCGGGGGTGGGGTGGGGTAGGCAGCGGCGAGGAAAGCGAGAACCCGGGGAGGGGAGGCGGCGGGGCGGGGTGGGGGGGAGGGCAAGCGTGGCGGGGGGGTGGTAGAGGAAGGAGCTCTAAACACAAACAGAAGCCGGGCCCAGGCCGCGGCGGGTAATTACAGCTAATTAGCTGCAGAGCGTTCCCGTCCGGGAGCGGCGTCCCGGAGGCCGGCGTCGGGCCAGGAGCGACCCGCAGGACCCGGGCCGCAGAGAAACGCCCCAGCAGGAAAGCCCCGAGTGGGCCACAGGTCTAGCCTCGCCAAGTCCCCATCCCAAAAGGTTGCATCAGGCAAGTCGAGAAAGGTACGGTCTCTGGCTGCCGGAGCTGCCCGGCCTTGGGATAGGTCACCCGTCCCAGCGGACGGGGCCATTCCGTTGGTCACCTGTTGCCGCTTCCCATCCGGGCCTAGACAACCCAGCTCCAGCCACCGGACCCTTTGTCCGCAAGTCCTGGCTCCAGGGTCGGCTCCCAAAAGTGGACCAACGCACAAACTAAGAGGTCTGGCAATGGATTCTTTCCCTTCACTGCCCACCCCAAGGGGATAACCCCAGGCAGCTCCAGGGCCACGGGCTGAGAACAGCCAAGAGGTTTTAAACGCGGCCGTCAGGCGAGTCCCAGCCAGCCTGACCCGGAGAGACACCCGCGCCCTGCGCCGCTGCGATCTTCCCTAGCTATTAGGATAGGACTCAGGGAGGAGACCCAGCAAATCAGAGGCCACGTAAAGCAGTTTTTGACTGAAATTAGAGTGTATTTATTTGCAGCAATCCTTTAACAATGATCAAATTTTGACAACAAGCAATAGCAATTACTGCTAAGTGTTGCCTCTAGATAGGAGCGGCAGATAGCAGGAAACTGTATTATCTCGAAAACAAACTGAAAGGCCCTGAATGTCTGTAATCAAATCGCCATCTCTCCAAAGTCTGATTGACAGGGCAGATCACCCTAAGATAATGAATTTATTACATTTCCTGGGTTATTTACAAAGGGGGAGGGCCAATCTGGGTTGCCCCCTAGGTTTAACTGTAAATTAACAAGAAAAAATGGATTGAAAAGAAACCACCCTAGACTAAAATGTTCTGCTCTTCTCTCCTTCCTTCTTATTGCTTTAAATCTTTTTTTAAAAATAATTGTTCTACAAACATACCTTCTAAAATAGTTTCCCAGAGATTAAATATCCCTTTCCAACCCACAGTATATATATATATATATATATATATATATATATATATATATATATATATATATATATATATATTTTTTTTTTTTTAAATCAACCCTTCTATGTAATACATGAAGGATTGTAAATGTGGATGAGTTATATACATACATTTAAAAACTGGTTTATTTTTCCTCTTACAAAGGAGTGAAATTAATAGGCAAAATATCCAGCATTTGGCTCACGGGGATGTATGTATAACAGACATCACGATTTTCTAATGTGATACACAAGCCAAATATTCATCTGTGTATATCTGGAGGAACATTCACATATCTCTACACACAGGTAGCACTGTGGTAACACTGCTGCTGATTCATGGGCTTAGAATTTCCAGATCATGTTCTGTCCTTACTGAAAAAAATATATTAGTGTATATGCCAACTCAGATCTGTTTAGGAAAATATCTTTTGACTAGCCACAAAGCAAGCTGACTATATAGTACATTTTGCAGAAGATGCTGCAGGAAAAAAAAAAATCTAAACAAAAAGAGACTTTTATTTGACAAGGAATAGTCCGAGGGTTTCTCCATTTTTCAGCTATTTAGGAGGAGAATAGGTCATTTCTCATGTTTTAATCTGAAATCTTTTTTTCTTATAATAATTAAGGTTGTATTAAAGTATCCAGACATATAGATCTCATTCAAACTGAATGGTAATTTATTAATAAACAAAACAATGAATATGTTCAACAAAAAGAAAAAAAAGATGATAGAATAAGATTAATACAGTTTCCCTTTTTATAATGAAAAAAAAAGCACAATTTAAAGTTTCAGGCAATTTAACGTCAGGTTTTGGAAACACTTTCTGGCGTTTGGTCCACGACATCCAACTACAAATTAAAAATAAATTACTATATTGCAATTTACATTTTAAAACAAGTCCATGAATAAAAAGAGAGCGATTTTCATATACGGGGACTTTCCCCCTCCTTTCAACATAGGATAAAATATCTTACAGGTGAGAGGTGGAGGAAAGAGAAGGGCAGGGGAATGGGAGAGAAAGGAGGAAAGCGTGATCTCTGAAAAGCAAGAAGAAACTTACGTGTTATCTGGAGTAACACTGTCCTTTAATAAACCATGATTTTGCTGTCTCTGTACAAAATAGTTTACCGTTTTGTTTATTTAGATAAGGCAAAGTGAAGGTGGCTCTGAATCTTTTCAGAAAATAGTTTTCTTTGTGCTGGTGAGTTGAATTTTTGGAGGGATTCTGTTCGCTGGTTTGGTGAATGTTTTTCGAGGTTTTCTTTTTTTTTAAATTGGATTTCTTTCTTTCTTTCTTTCTTTCTTTTTTTTTTTTGGGGTTTCGATTTTGCATTGATGGTTCTTTTCTGTTCCTGCTTTAGGGTTCTATTCAGTTCGACTTGGGGGGGGCGGGGGTGTCAAAACTTGCTACAGTCGTAGACGAAAGCCCCGGACGTGCGGTACAGAGACTGGCTGGAAGGGAAGGCCATCTGACAGCTACTATTCCCGTTCACCGGAGAGTTGTTCAAGCCGATCCTCTGCGACTCGAACATCTCCCGCACAGAGTGGAAGTTCTGCTGCTGGCCCGGGTAGCCCGCGGCCGCCGCCGCCGCCGCCGCGCTCGCCAAGTGGCCCAGGTCTCCGCCCGCCTGGTTCAGGTACCACGAGGTGAGGCGGCCTTGGTGGGCCGCAGGGTGGTGGCCGGTCTCCTGGCCGCCGCCACCGTGACTCAGGGACGAGGAGCTGCTGCTGGTGACTGGGGGCAGAGAGTAGTCGGGCAGGGGGTCGTCCACCGCCGAGCCGCCCGCGCCCCCCGGCGCGCCCTGCAAGTGGCCGCCGCGCTCTCCGGCCGCGTACAGGCTCATGGCCTGCAGGTTGCAGTGGTAGGTCCCGGCTCCCGCCGCGCCGCCGCCGCCGCCGCCCCCTCCGCCGCTGCCCCCGCCCGAGCTGCCGGCGCTGGAGCTCTGGCTGCAGGGGGAGCTGTAGAGAGAGCTCTGGCCAGGCGAGTAGGCGCCGAGCGCCAGCGGGGGTGCGATGCCCGAGCGCGAGGACCCGGCCGCCGAGGCCAGGAGGCCTGAGCCGAGCTCCGCGGCCGCGCCCTGCGGCGACCCCCGAAGCGACGTCATGATGTTGTCCACGCTGAAGCCCTGGCTGTGGTGCGGCGGCGGCGGCGCGGGCTGGGCGGTCGGCGGCGGCGGCGGCTGCGCGGGCTCCGCGCCGTCCAGGCTCAGCGGCCGCGCGGAAGGCAGGCTGCCCGGGGGGCTGCTCCCACTCGACAGGCTGCTGCTACTGCTGTCGGGGCTTTCGATTTTAGGCACCGCGGCGGCGCTGCCGCTGCCCAGGGCGGCGGCCGGGGACAGGGGCTGGGGCGGCGAGGGGCACGTACCGTTCTCGGTTTTGATGTCCTGGATGCGCACTGGCGGCGGCTGCGGTCCGGGCGCGGCGCCGTCGGCCTGCTCGGGCGGCGCAGGCGGGGGTTGGCGGCCGGGCGGCGGCGGCGGCGGCTCCTTGAGGTGCAGCCGGTCCTTCTCCTCCTTGTCCTTCACCGCGTCCTTCTTCTTGAAGCGCCGCCGCCGCCGCAGGAAGCTGCCGTTCTCGAACATGTTGTACGAGTCCGGGTCCAGCGTCCAGTAGCTGCCCTTGCCCGGTTTCTTGTCGTCGCGGGGCACCTTGACGAAGCACTCGTTCAGCGAGAGGTTGTGGCGGATGCTGTTCTGCCAGCCTTGTTTATTGTCCCGATAGAAAGGGAAGCGGTCCATGATGAACTGGTAGATGCCGTTGAGGGTGATCTTCTTGTCCGGGGCGTTCTGGATGGCCATGGTGATGAGCGCGATGTAGCTGTAGGGAGGCTTCACCATGTCCTTGGGCTGCGGCTGCGGCGTGTAGGGCCCGTAGGCGCGGGCCATGCCGCCCGGGTACTGCTCGGCGTGCGCCGGGTGCGAGTACACGCTCATGGGGGCCGGCATGGCGGTGTAGCCGCCCCCGGCCGCCGCCGCCGCCGCGCGGTAGTAGCTCTGCTCTCCGCCGAGGTAGGGCACCACTCCCAGGGAGTTGGGGCTGGACACGGAGTAGCGCGCCTGCATGGCCCCCGCTCGCCGCCGCCGCCCCGCGCCTCCCGCCGCCCCCCACCCTCCCTAGGCCGGCCACGCCGCGCCGGCTGCCCAGTCCGAGTCCGGGCCCCACAGAGCTGGTGCCGGGCCGCCGCGCTGAGTCCGGCTCGGCCGCCGCCGCCGCCGCCCGAAACCGCCGGCCGCGCGCGGCCTCTCCCTGCGCTCGCTCGGGCTCCTGGGGCGCCTCGGGCCACCTCGGGGTCGGTGCTAGGGGAGAGCGCCGGGCGAGGACGCGGCAAACGGCCTTGAAGGAACCCGCGGAGCAACTTCCAGGCGAGAGCGGCAGAACAGAGCCAAAACTAAAAAACAAGAAGGCGCCCTTCTCGCCACACTGCCTGCGCCTTCCAGGAGACTCTGCCCTGAGCCGCCGGCGAAGGCGGCCAAATAACCAGGGGCGGGGGGCAGCGCGCCGGCCGCCTTGCCGGGCCCCGCGTCACCTTTTTTTCAGTCTCTCGCGCGCCGGCCGCTTAAGGAAGCATTGGGAAAACTTCTGAACTTTTGAGCATCCGTCACCGAGGCGAGGACTTTTTTACGCAGTTACATTTTTTTCCGGGCAGCGGAGCCCCGCCCCACCACAGCAGCAGCAGCCAATGGTAGGCGAGAACCGCCTCTGAATGAGCCGGAGGCCGAGCCCAGGCTGCCCGCGCCCAGCTGCGGGAGGACCGCGGGGCTGACCACACGCGCGCCGGCCGCTCGGAGCCGGCACCCCTGCCCCTGCCCCTGGCCGTGCCAGGCCTGCACCCACAGCAAGATCGGCCCCCGAGCCCCAGCCGCCCGCCGCAGCCGCCCGCAGTCTCCCACCCCCGGCCCTCCGCACAGACGTCCATTGTTCTCGCAGACTTCCTGGGTCCTCCTGGGCCCCACGCAGACCCTTCCTCGGTCCACCGCTCCCAGATGTCACCGAGTCCTCGAGCCCCAACTCGGGCCGGCTCTCTCCCATTCCCTGGTCGATCTGGCTGACTCCAGTGCCGGGATTTCCTGGGCCTCTCTTCCCCTCCTTTTCCCCTCACCTTTCCTCTCTTTCCACCTCTTCCTTCCCTCTCGTCGCCAGTCTCACTCGGTTCACAGCTGTGTTCATTGGCCCTCCCACCCCCCTCCTGGAGATCCTCTTGCCCGGAGCTTGCCCGGAGCTGGGTTACAAAGGACAGGGTTTTAAAGGCTCAGTCACAACCATGCTTTTCCCGGTGGGGCAGGAGTTGTCGCCCCCACCTCGGCTTCCTCGTGACCCCTACCCAGTAGAAATAAGGGAGAGGGGATATGGGGCCTTGCCGGGATCGCTGCCCAGGTAGGCTCCGCCCCCCCCCCCATTTCAGGCCACCCTTGCTCCTCGTCCCCCCCCAGGGCAGTTGGCGCCCTGAGAGTGCTTGAGGCGCTAGCTGCAGGGGCCAGGAGGCTTCCCTGCGCTCCCCCGTGGCGGGGAGGGTGAGGGGCATACGTGATCCCTCAAGTTCCCCACACGCCGCCGGGTCTTTGCCTGGTCAGGCATGTTTCGGCTCAGAGGAGGGGTCACGCTTCGGGCTCAGTGACATTAGCAGGTGTGATGACAAGAAGCAAATAAACACGTCCAAGAACTTAACGCGCCTCAGTTCAACCTCCATCTCCACACGCGCGGGGCTGCCTGCTTTGCAGATAACGGGTGTGTTGGGCGGGGTGGGGTGGGGGGGGGGATGTTCAGAATCGCACCTGCAGAACTGCTCAAGGATTCTGGGGGGATAAGCGCAGAAGGCGTATCCTTGTGCACGCCTGAAACGTACAGTTTCTGAACGACTGGAATGGGATGGGAAGAGGAGAGAGGGAAAGAAACGAAGAAGCAGGAAAAAAATCGGCCACCCTCCGCCTGCAGCGCAATTCTGCATCTTGGCAATTCTAGAAAAGACCCTCCTGAAGACTGAACACTAGATCCTTTACCAGAAGCCGGGGGTGGGGGCGGGGGGCACTGGCAAGCTTAGGAAACTGTGAGGAAGAGTAGTGTGACGCATTTAACACCTCCACTCCCCCAATTTCTGACAATCTTTAACTGCAAGGACGTGTCGGGAGCCCCTTTTGGCTTCCCAGCTGGAATCCGGCTTCTTCACTGCACAAAAATTCTCATTGTCGCTTTAGTTATTAGATATCAAAGGCGCTGACTTGTGTAGGAGGCTCAGCTCCGTGTCACTTGAACATTTAAAAAACACCGTGTTTCAGAATGGACATTTACATGGAGAGAAGAGGACCTGCTACTTCTAGAACTAGCCTGGGGGTGGGGGGTTTGCCCGGAAGTTCCGATTCCTGACGCAGCTGCCTCTTGGCCTGCTGTGCTCTTGGGGCACTTGAAACTCCTTTTCCAGGGTGTTTGCAAGGCCGGGGGCTCGGATTGGAAGAAACACTTGATTTATCAGCAGGAGGCTCAGTACTTGATGGTTCCCAAACACTTACAGAGGGAGGAAGTGGGGAGAAGACCCCCGACTTGAAAAATGAATTCATGTCCAGCCCCCATCCCTGTACCCTGACATAATCAGCCCCTTTGGCTGAGGCTTTATGGGGCGCTCTGGCTTCAGCCTGGAGGCCAATTAAGTGGTCTCCCTAAACACCCCAGCATTTGGTGAATTTGAACTTTAAACTGCATCTCCACTGTTCGCACGCGGTGCATGGACAGGAAAGCAGCAATAGCGACTCGTTTGTTTTCCTAATGTGGGAAACGCCAGCGGGCCCCCGGGTTTTGCAATGGACAGTTGTGCTCCGCCGTCGCTTCCCAGCACACCGTCTCCTGCCCTCCCCTCGCTCTCTTCCTCCGCCAGCCTAGAGAAGGGTAAACAGCTTGTTATGTAAATTGCAAATAGAATGGCGGTGGTGTTCTGGGCTCCCCGCTTTGGATATAAAAGTTACCGTTGTGAAATTAGTATCTGGCATGCGAGAAAAAATGGAGGGATGCAGTTTTATAGAGATCAGCTTTCCACTGGTTTAGTTCTGGATATTCGCCAGGAAAAGATATTTGCATTTGTGTTTTATAAGCTTATTCGGAAGCAAACCTTCAGTAAACGGCTTGATTATATTTCAAGTACTTTGCTTATTTTATTATTGTTGTTAGTGGCGTTATTTTAACGTTAAGGCACAGAAGTGAAGTCTTTTGGGGGAATAGGTTAAAGTTTTTATTTTCAGTTTAAAGTTTTTGATGCCCCTTTTCCCTGCTCCTTGGGGTAGTTCAATCGTCAGTCTCTCGAAAAACCCTTGACTCAATTGGCAGAAATGCCCCCGCAGGAAACCTTGGGCTTCTTTTCTGACACCTCCCGTCCTTGCAGCCTGAAGGTCCTGCAGGCAACAGCGGTAATGGATGTTTGGTGGAACTGTCGCTTGGCCCGCCCTGCAATCCCCAGCCCATCCTTGACCTGCCAGGTGGGGTTACAATTCCCGGGGCCCACTGAGGGGTTCTTAGCTCTGAGGAGGGGGAGTGACGTCACGGCAATATTTAAAACAAGGCCTCCCCAGGGCCCCTACTGTAGAAAAGCACCGGGGAGATGTGGCAAGCACTCCAGGAAATGCCTAGATTCGGGAACGTGGTGACACCACAGGAATGTGTGTGTTGGGGGTAGTGGGGGGGGTGGAGGAGGGAGGGAGGAGATGGTGCCCTAACGCAGGTCACCAGGAGCCAGAAAGAGCTCTTTCTCTTTTCTTTTTATTCAAGTCAAGTAGAGGGAATAAGGGTCGGGGTGAGCCCCGAGTTCAAGAAATGACTCTCCAGCAGTTTGAGCCCAGCCCAGGGGACACAGATTGTCCTCTGCGTCAGAGACCCCTCTGGAACTTTCCAGCCCCGGCAGCACAGTCGTCCCTAGGACCTGCCCAGACTCCCTCCCAGTCCGCAGTTCCGGCATATCCAGCTTTTGGCTCTCGGTTATGCCCAGGAAGCTGGCCCGTCGGGGGTCTAGGCCGCCTTCCTGCGGGTTCCCAGGGGGCCCCCACTTGGTCCAGGAGCTGCGGAAAACAGGAAAGGCAGGCTTAGAAGATGAGGGAAGGGACTTCTGCTCTAGACCATGCGTCAAATCCAGAGGGTTCTGCAAACCCAGGAGGGAGGCTGCACGTCTACAGTCGTCCTACCATCTCCCCCTCCGCTGCCAGGAGACAAATTGGAAGATTAAGGCAATTACCCCGCCAGTGAGATTTGGAAACTCCCCACTAGACCGAAATCACAAACAACCGCAGCAAAGTCCGTGTGTGTGTGTGTGGGGGGGTGCCTTTGAGCCATTTAAGTAAATGACTGTAGTTCTACATATGGCCTCGTTTGGGTAGACCAGGAACCCAGAGGTAGGGGAGGGTATTTCGGTGTCAATAACCGTTATTCGTTATCAAACCGTCAGCCCGGAAGGTAGAGTTTGTCTTCAGTGTGACTTGTCAGAGGAGGGAGGAGGCGGGGACCCAACGTTTGGGTGGCCAAGACTCAGAGGACTGCTTTCTTCTTTCCTCTTAGTTGGGGGGTTTCTGAGTAGAGGTTCTGTTAACGCAGTTCCTGTAATTCAGTCCCCTCCTCAGCAGAAAAATAATTCCTACAATAAATAAAAAGAGCGTTTGTTTTTCGATTATGTTTTAAAGACAAAGTGATCCACATTGCCTGTCTACAAGATTGAACTGATTGGATAGTTGCCCTCGTAGGAGCAGATCTCCACAGGAAGTTTATGTGATGGGATAATTTAATGTCATACCCCAAGTCCCCAAGATGGGCCATCCCACTAATTACTTACACAGGAGAATTCGTGCCACACCTGCTCTTGGTTACCCCGTCGGGTCGGCCCACCTGTCACCTCAGAGCCGGGTTGAATAGCAAGGAAGAGGCACGGGGCATGCGGGAAGTGAATCTTTAACTTTATTGCCTGGCTCCGAAAGACTGAGGGCTTCCTTTGTCCAGGCAGAGGTAGATGGACACCCGAACTGTCGTCTTTCATTAACAATCCAGGACGAGAATAAAATCTGTGACGGGGTGGATGATCGGAAAGGACTAGAGGCACGCGTGTGCATGCGCGCACCTGCGTGGCCTCGCATCCTGGTCCCCAGCAGACTCAGGACGGCTGCCGCAAGCCAGGTCCTGAAAGGGTAGAGGCCCCGCTTCCTCGCAGCTTCGTGACACCGGCACATTTGGGGGGCGCGCAGCGCAGGGCCCAGGGGTCCTCCAGCCCCAGAGGCGGTAGCGCAGCGCCGGGACTGCAGGGTGCGGGCGGGCGCGGCGATCAGAGAACCGCGGGGCGAAGGCGCCTTCCCGGGGGCTGGAGTGAAAAGCGCGCGCTCCTGCACGGCCGCGCCCTGGCTGCGGATCCGCGGACAGACCCACAGACCCACGGAGCCGCAGGCTGGGGGAGGTCGGTTGTACCTTGCTGGCGGCTGGGCCTGTGTCCCGCGGGCGGCGGGTGCTTCCCGGGTGTCCAGCACCGCCCCGCGGCGGACCTCGAGCCGTGGTTGCCACCCTTCCTCCCGCCGGAAAGCGACCGTCGCAGAGCCTGAGCCTCGACGCCCCGGGGCCTTGGCTTGCCTGGCGGGCCTGAGCTCTGGGACGATCCTCCCGA